CCTCAGGATGCGGTGGGGACCTGACCACCGATGACACAACTTTGCAGCTCTCTTGTCCACAGCCGAACTGGCTGGATGAGCTTTACAAAACACCAAATCCCCCACCTGGAAAGGGTTGTCTACTCTACCACGATTGTGCTTCCTCCGGACCAATTCCCTAGCTCTGATCAAGTTTCTCCTGGCCGCTTGCCAAGTTGCCTTGACATCAGCCGCACCAGGAGGTGGCAGAAGGTCGCCAATTCCCCACACATTCGCTAACGGGTTGTTAGGCGGATAGCCTAGAAACAGCTCGAAAGGGACCGCCTTGTGACTCTCATGGTGAGCAGTATTGAAAGCAAACTGAAGCCAAGGGAGTTCCTGATCCCAGGTGGTCTGCTTGTCAGCATGGAAACAATTAACAAAACAGCTTTGCAAAAAATAAAGCATAGAAACAGATGTTAAAGGATAAATTTGTTCTGAAAATCCTCTGCGAGGCAAACGGCTCTGACGTCGCTGAACCTATGAGTTGCTGGCGGAAAGAGTAAGAAAAACAAGACTCACAGCCTTGTTCGGGGTCGTGAAAGTGACAACGAAACACTGAACTAGCCTACTATAAAAAAAAACACTTGAACCATTGATCATGAGTCGTGACATTCGCCCGGTGGAAATAGTCACGGCTCAAATTGAACATTTAAATAACATTTTTGGCAATGAAAATAAGGTGCTTAATTAAGTGCTGGTATGTCATAAGATAGCTACAAATCTAAAACATATTTTTGAAGTATTTTATCGATAATCTTTGCATTTTATAAGCTTTCCAACCATATGCTACACTATTGAGGTTTATGTCTGCTTATGTACACTTTAATGGTTTGAATACTACAAAGCATTGTGTCTTTAACATTTAAAACATAGAAAGTCAGCAAGTATTAAGCAAAAGTTGTATTTTTGATTCAGCTTGAACAGTAAAAACAGTAAAAAAGTTCCCTGTTTTCTGGTATTCAAACCACTAAAACAAACAAAAAAATATCTACACCTCAATAGTGTAGCATATGGTTGGAAAGCTTATAAAATGGCGCAGTTTTTAACATATTCCGACACTTTCTTGTATACAGGGTGTGAAAATGCAATAGACCATTGGTTTTAAAATTTTTATCAAATATCTTAATTTTTTATCTTTGAATCTATTTACAATGGAGTTTTTACAACTGATCCTCCGTCATTTTCCATTATTCTTGTTCAAAATTTAATGTAGAACACGAAAATGACATTATCTACTCAAATCCATATACAAGTAAATGAGAAATCGCTGTATTAACTTTAAAAGCATGGTTATTTTTGAAAAACATAAAATAATGTTTTGGGACGCTAATTTTGAGACTTGGAACATTTGATATGCATCATCACACTTCATTTACTTTGTATTTACATAAAAAAAATTTGTCACACTGAGTACAAATCACCCTGTATTTCAACTAGGTTATTTTTCATGAAGCATAAATTAAAGTTATCGGAATCGTTACACAATAATTAAATTAATTTGTATACATAACAATGGTCGATCATAAGGAAATTTAATTATTTCTGTATACATATAATTAACAACCTAAACTAACCTTTAAATGAGCTGTACATGTTAAGACCCGTGTCAGTGCAGTCCCACAATGCTTTGCGGTCTTCCCCTCCCTCACCCAACGACAGTGTTGCCATAGTAACCACACTAACCTACCCTACGCGCTTATCAACTTAATGACAACTAGGTCATGGGAAATTCCCCGGTGTACAGGTGGCAAACCTTTATCAACCTTACTTGATGGAACTACGACCAGTTTGATCTATGAAGAAGTGAAAACAATCACCATCCAAGTCTATACAGACTTAAATTGAGTGATGGTGACCAAACGTACAAGTAAACAACACAAATTAGATTATCGTTTGCAAACGAATCAATATTGATTGTGAGATTATATTTAGTGATATATTGATTTCTTCAATTCTTGTTTTTCTTTTCCTATATTGACTTTTTTACTGGGCATAGTTTTCGTGCAGATTGTTTCGAAACTTGAGTGGCGTAATACATACAAAGATATATTTTAACGGTGTAGTAATTTATTTGATATCGAGTTCAGCGATGACAAATAAATTTCGTCATAGTTTCATTGATACATATTACAGAGTTTTAGGCATGTTTACATGACGAAAAACGGCAATGTTTAAACTGGATAAAGGAACATCTGTTTGGAATCCCTCAATTTTCGTCAATAAGCTATCATGTAGCTCCATGGAATTCATTTTTATTTTTGTAACTCTATAAGTGAAGCAACCTACACACAACCTACGAGTTAACCTATAGTTAAAATAATTTACACGAGAAAATCAACAAAATACTAGTTTTCTCAAGCGTTTGTAATGTCTAAAACTCAAACAGCCATTTATTAGTCATCATGTAAGTATTAATAAATGGCATGCACTTAGTATATTTTTCCTAAGTAATTTTAACCTCAACAAAATATTTTTAGCTGGGTGGTCTTGTGCTTGCCTAACAATCAATGGTCGGCAGTTCAATCTTGGAAGAGTCAGTAGCTTTTTGATTATTCTAAAATGGATCTAGCCGTCCTTTGTTTATTGGGGTTTAGTAGAACCTAAGATCATCGATGTATAATAACTCTACATTATACAGGGAGTTATTATACATCGATGCCCAAGATACGGTAGTTGGATAATTTTTTGATCGGTAGCCCAACAGCTCTTTGGTAAGAAACACCAAATCAGTATACGTACAGCTAAAATCCGTTGAATATTCGCAAATTTCGACCCCGGGCTTCACCGGATACATCATATTTTAACACATTGAATTTGTGAAGATGTACGTGTGAACATCCCTTCTATATGGTACAGCTGCAGCTAATTGGATGCCCTAATAGGACAGAGATGAACCGCTCACAGATGGAGATGTGGTACGGATTCTTTTCTCTTAGTTTTAGCAAATTTTACATGTAGCGAATAATACCTACTAGCGTAGGTTTCATGGTAAGACCTAGACCCAGTGCTGATTTAAATTTTTTATTTTATTTTTTTTAAGAGGTTGGTGACCTCTTTTGACCTTACATTTGCCCGTCCACACAGAGACGTAGAAAACATTGCTTAGTCTATTATCCTACAGATCTGTGCGTGGAACGTATCCAGCAAAGCAAGGGGTGAGCCGGTACAGCACGAAGGTGAACTGTACTGATAACAAATGTTTGCTACAGTGGCCAGGATTCGAACCCACGACATCGCTGCCTTGGACCCGTGTTCGTGACGCTACCAACTGATCCACCAACTCAACAAACCTCGACTTGATTAGATTGATTCAGTTTTGGTGTCCCCAAAGGCCCAAAACAAGATCCGTTCAAATTCTTATATTTATAAAGAAATTGCAAACTAGCATGGTCAGACCATGGAAATGGGGTTTATGAACTAAAAAATTGTTTTATTTATTTTACCTTATAAACGTCAAATATTTTTCTATCTATTACTAAACTGTTTTCGAGCTAAAAAAAGAATTAATATTTTATTCAATAGAATCGCTGGACGATTAATGATTAGGAAGAAAAAAAGGATTTTGCTGTTTCGTGACGACATTCAAGTTTACCAGCTTTAAACATACATACCCAATTTAATCAAAATCGGACCAACGTTGCTTGAGTTTTCATTTTCATGGCCTCTGGGTACAGTACATCAAAATGAAAAAGTAAATTGATCTAGTGCCCAGTCCAGGTCTTACCACGTTATCTACGATGATAGATTCCTATAAGGGAAATTTGCAAAAGAAAAACACGAATAAGAAATGTAAAATACTTTTACTATTTTAGGTTAGAATACGTCGTAGCTTAAGATTTACCTTGTACACGACGTTGTTTATATTAGTTCATATTAGCAGGTCGCGCCGTGGTATTTTTCTAACGCAATATACGCAATACACGCGTGGCTCTATATTGCTTCACAGCGCCTTTGTGTTCGTGTTGCTACACAAATAAAGTATGGTTGGAAACACGTTTTGTTGTTCATTAAGGATGGATATTATTTGGCAGATGGTGTTTGGTAAAAGATGTTATTCATATTTAGATGGTCGGTAATAATAAAACAATATGACAAAACTTGCAGTCTAAGAAAACATTTACAAATGTTTCTTCACATTCTTCTGGATATTAAATAAGAATATTGTTCTTTACCAAGTGTAGCTTAACAGTTAGATCAAACTGATAATTTCAGATTTCTTATTTAATATTGCAAAGGTCTGATAAGAAACAATCGTGTTCAATTGTACGTGTATTGTATGTGCTAAACACAATAGTTTACGCAACGATTGCATTAAGACTATTTACGCGAGTTGCTTACACTACTTTACCTATGACGGAGTTTTAATTACAAACAATCACTACTCATAACTTCTACGAGAGTTATGCATAACTGACAGTGATGCAACGAATCATTGTGCCGAACACTAATTGCACAACTCAACAATTAAATTGTCCCGAACAGCTGATTAGTTGAAGTTCGAATCATTACAATATTACACTCTTATTTTCTCTCAACCCTTGAACCTCATTGGCCCGTTATCCATGTTGTTAAGTAAAAAACAATGCTGTTAAGTAAGTAAAAGAGTTTGTAAAGTGATCTCTTTCAATTGTAAGAACTAAACTGAAACGGCTAGTTTAACAAACGGTCGTAAGTAAATACTAAAACAACATACCTATTTAGTAATAGCGCAACATCGTTATATGACCAAATTTACTTTTTGATTTTCACAACAATAGCTTTCTCAAAGGTTTCTAAGAAAATGACAAATTCAGGTTGTAGGTCGGAGCCTTTAGCTATCCTGATAACATTGTTGAGAGTTTCTTTGTGTCACCAAGTCCAATACTTTCGCCAGCTTGCTTTGAAAAGAACCTATGTTTGTTTACTTTATATTTAGGTTCACAAACCAATGTAAATCATGACCTCAAAAGGCCTCTTTGAAATAGTTTTTACTCACCTACCTTGTAAGATTCTGTTATAGAACAAGTGGAACGGCAAGTAGTGTTGTATCCTAAAACAACAAATTTGTTTATTAGTTTCATAATAAAAAATCTTTTTTCTCACTATATGAAAGAATGAGAAACTATTATAACATTGCGGTGGTGTCTGTCTGTCTGTGCGGCTTTCATGACTAAAATACTAAACCGATACAACAAAAATAAAGCACAAAAATGGTCCACATATCAAAGGATATCTTATACCTATTCCCTTCCCGGATTTACTCTCGGCTACGCCCAGTGAACGGCCAAAGTTTTGTGTTGAGGTTTTAAAAAGTAAATGTTGATTGGTCTCCATGGAAGCAAGAGAAAACTCAAAATATTTACCTTTGTGTTGCAATTTTAATGTAAACAATCAGAACTGCCAAATTCTTATTTAACAATTTCAGACAGCTGATCCAAAGAAATCTAAGACAATATTTTACATAACTATACATGTGTTAGGCTTATTTATTCTAAAAGGTTGTCATTGATTATTTATTATAAAACTATGTCGTTGATTATGGAAGTAAAAAAAAGATTCTATAACCGTTGCTGTATCAACCCAGAGATAGTTTTAACTACCAAGATATGCTATGATATTAAGGTTCCCCTTTCTTCGAAACTGAATTTTCTTCCCGTAGCAAAGTACGGGTACAGCAGCTAGTCACACATAATGTAACACCAAAAAGGTTTATGAATTGTTTCATTTTGCTTTAGAAAACCTACTGCTATATGAAATTTCATTAACACATATATTGAAATTAAAATATACTACTATATAAAATGTCTTTTTATGGGAAAAATTTACAAAGATTATGAAATGAAGATGGAAGTGGAAGTAAAACAAGATGTTGGATAGAGATATTAAATAAGACAAAGGCTCAATAAACATCAAATACGTTATACCCCTGGGCTCAGCTTTATTTGGTCTATATTAAATTCTTGTCTGTCGTCAGACGGGTCAGTCATATTATATCCTTGGCTCAATAGTGAATTTTATTGCTTCTTTGCCCAGAACAAATTTTAGAACCCAATCTTTCAGGCTGAGTGACATTAAACTACCTGTGGTGAAAATAGTTTCTTTTAAGATGAGTTAACAACGAATTGCATTACTAGTTGCACTGATATTTAAGATGTTTAAGTCATTTGATCAATATAAAAAAGCTTGATATAAAATAATCTCGTGGATAACGAATGGATAGTTAAATTAATACCATTTAAGATATACATTTCACCAAAATCATCTAACTATTGAATACATGTTACTTCACAGAGAGATTTTTCAAACCTAATAAAACGAAACAGTTTTTCGTCTCGGTTGTTGTTATACTAACCTGAAAGGGTATAATAGACTGTTTACTATTTGATTTTTATCAACCTGCTGAAAACATTTGTTTAAACTTAAATACTATGTATTTTCTACATATATTCCAGAACCCTTAATCTTACTCAAACAAGATCTATCGGTTGTTTTATTTTTACCAAACGTCTATACACATTTCGAATTTACATAATCTGTTGATCCCTGAACACACAGCATTCTTTTGTCCACGCTTAACATAATATTAACCATATACACTGATTGTATATCGGTTTAAACTACCCACCTTCTCTTTCATTGGAACCAACCCTTGAAAAATAAATTACATAAAATAAGTTTATAGATATAAAAATAATGTCCTTAGTATAATACGAGATTTTAATAACTAGAAGAGAAACGCCTGATTGTGATGAATTTATTATGAACGAGATAGCACTTAGTGAATGAACACCAAAGCTCTTAGATCTGCTCACTTCTCATCGAACGTTGATTTCTACTTAACGCAATTAGCTCTTATCATAGAAGAAAGATATATTTTACAATTTAGTTTAAACTCTAAATTTTAAATAATATTTACCAAGCTCTTAAACGAGAACAGCATGTAAAATTTTCAACTATACATCAAAGTTAATAACTCGTTGTTGGAATAAAAGGTGAATAGAACTCCTACCTACTTTGTTTTTCTCTTTGCGAAAACGAAAATCCTGCTAATAATTTGTTTTAAAACCAAATATTCGGACAAATACAACATAATACTTAAAACTTGAAACTAGTTACTTAATGTTTTGCCCAGTAAACAAATAGATTCATTTTTGTTTAAACTAGGTTAATTTATCTCTGTTACGACATTCTTTCCTCAGGAAGGTTGGTGATAGTTCAACAACTCTCCGATAGACTACGGCACCTACTGCTCCTCTTGTCTATTGATTTAAACACTGGGTTAGGTTATCAGGTAAACCGTAATTTATATTGTTTATTTCTTAAAATAATTGAGTTCAGAAGGCATTCTGTAACTCAATGACTTAAAGTTGTATTAACTTAAACAAGTGGATTTTAAAATTAATCTTATCCTTTTAGTCAACTTTACAAGTCAACACGGTTCCTCAACAATAACTGAGTTTTATAGGGGTGTAAAATATAAACATATTAGGCCTATAGTTATAATTCAAACAAAAACGTCATTGTAAGAACGTTTGTATATCAAGTATTTTGATTCTATCTTGCTCTGAGATATGGTTAACCAATACACTAAGAATTTATTACTCAATGGTATTTGTTTATTTGCTATTGTTTTTACAAACAGTGGTGCTACATCAAGTTCTGATATTCTCTAACTTTGCTTGTTAAACCTTATCTTGCAAATAATTTGGGCGAGTTCAAAGAATATGTACATAATATACAGATCTTGTATAATGCAACAATAGCTATATATTTTCCATAAATAGTTCTACTGCTTACAGCTAGAATTAGTATGCTAGAAATTCAGAAAGTGCACCAATGGTTGAAAAAAATGAAGATGCTTTCAAACAGGCTTCAAAGGAACAGAGGTGCATACAATCATTCCATACTGTACCTTTGATTTTTAAATACATAATTGGCATTTAATCTACATGGCCCAACTGCCACTATAATTGCGCTAAAGAGACTTTACTTAAAGGAGCAAGTCACAGAGTGTATTAAAATTAAATTTTACTTTTAGCCTCCCATTCTATGGGGATTGATCGGGCCCCACAATATGCTATAGCCTACAAACAAGTTTCAATAGTCTTTATATTAGTTTACCATGATTAAAGATTTTGTTTTAGAAATAAAACTGCATATTACAACAACATACCCTGTCAGTAGCGCAATTGAACTTGATTATTTTTTACTCTAAAACCGGCTGCAGCTTATTATGCCTACTTCATTAAGGTAGTGTATCCATAGTCAAATGTACTACTATAGGCCTACTAACTAGTTGCGTTATAATTACCGTTATTTTTAAGAATGTATGTAAGTTAAAACGTTCTTGGGTAAACAACGCAAGCATCTGCGAAGGGACCAAGACTCCATTTTTGCGCGTCTTTCCTTTGTTTTCACAGTCGCTTGTGTGCGTGACCAGAACGCTAAACGTTTAACTCTACCACGTCTTCTCCCCAAGCACTCTTTATTTATTTTACGGCTCTACGCTTTATGGCGAGTTTACTTAGGTGGGCATTTTGTTAGGACCTAATTATTGATGATAGAGTGTCATTGACAGTTTTTTTTTATTCGACTTAAACACGGGCTGCTGGCAAAATGTTAAAAACATATCTCTTGGTAAGGTTTTTGACAGATCATAGCGTTCAAATAAAATCTGTGTAACACATTGGGTAGCTGGACAACGCTCTAATCAGTATAAGCATCCAACCGTAAATTATTAAGCCATTATCAAACTTAACGAATCAAACTATTGTGGAAGCACAAGTTTGGTTTGCAATGATCAAAGAAAAAGTGGTTCAGAGATACTACCATGACTCACTCGCGATGCGTCAAGATAGAGTTAGAATGATTTCAATTACAAAGTCATCCGATTTCTTTGGTTTCAAAGTTTATAATATTCGTGATACACGAGATTTACACATAAGATTTAATGATTACTGAATTTTGTATAAGTGTAAAAATAAATTGTATGTTCCAATGAGATAGATTCTTAACTAAGAGGTGATCGTGTTCATTACGTTGATTTTCATTCTTATGAATGATTCAATAAATATAAACTGGAGAAAACATATCTCTCAAAACCAACGTTGAGAATGATTTTATTATTCTTTATTTATTATTTTATCGTAGCGATGGCCCCATTCAGACAGAGCCCTTGTAAGAAGGCAATTTGCAGTAACTCAAGTGGTAATGAAAGAGTCGATGTTATGCGCCCCAGAGAGAATACAAACAAACCCATTTTCACATAGAGAGATGTGTTATAATTTAGTTCAGCAAATAGAAAGAATAAGGGTAGTTTTAAACCTAAGAGTTAAAGTATCTTGTTGGCTTTTATACTATGTAACGTTTTCATTGACAATATGAGAATAAGAAACAAAATATACAGTGTGTTTTGAAAGGAATATACAGTTTTGAAATACTTCAGAAGCGTATATACGTAAACATTACCTTCCAGATCACTTTTAACTTATTTTACACATATTATGTAAGAACTTTAAAAAGTCGCAAGAACAACAAAAGGCAACGGCTCGTGAAAATATATTGCTGGGTAAATGAGCCTTTATCTAAGTTACTGCGTACTTTGCTTGGTAAATAAAATCCCACAGTGAGTAACCCAGTTGTGAGTCCCTCCCAAAGTTCTGTTTCACAACAAGGATCTTTATGAATAAGTTTAAAATATATTTTCAAACTTATGTTCTGTGTTGGACTAAAATGTTATGTGTTAAGGATATAAGCAACTAATTTGATAACGTTAAAAAAATTAGTAATTTTTAAAAATCTATTTGGAAACATAGATACATAGATGTTGTTATTCCATGTTATGATTTATTATACAATATTATTGTAACCAGAAAGTAGCTAAGTAGTAACAATTTAAATTTACATAATCAAATGAGTTGAGTATTATCTAATAGTATATCAAATTGAGTATTTTCCTCTGTGTGGTTTTCCTTAGGATCATTAATTTTCCTTGCTCCCATATCTTGTACACCTTATAGTTTGCCTCAATATTGGAAGAGGTCGTCTTAA